GTCTGGTTTCGCCTCGTGTCCTAAGTGTACTGAACTCCCCATCAGTGACAGTTCCTAATTGGCAGAACACATGATATAAAGATTAGTTAAAAGCTGTCCCTAAAGAGTGTCAACATAAGGTTCATAATAAATGGACTAAAAGGCTAAAATCTTCCAAGGCATATGATCACAACTTTTTTATTGTCTAAACCTTATTGGACATCAAACTAACAGTCAATAACATGTAGTAATATGAAACAATGAAACACTTACCAACAGCAGTGAGCCCATAGAAGTTCATCCTCTCCTTCAGGGTCTTTGTCAGGTCCCTGATGTATTGATCCCTCAGGCTGTTGTAGGGGATGTATTGCACTGGTAATGCGTAAGGTTTGTTCTTTCTCTCCTCGTCTGAGAGCATTACAACAAGTACATGTGTGGCTGCGGGTTGTCGTTTCTTCTTGAATAAGTTAGAAGTATATGTTTGAATGGCTGCTTTGTTCCTTTTGTGTATTGAGATGACTTCGTGTACGTTGGTGTTGGATGGGTTCAGGAAAGCCAAGGTGTCATCATATGCCCTTGCAAATTATTGTGATTGCTCCAGCAGGTGGCTGGTTTCAACTACATCCCAGTTCAGTTCTTTTAGTTTTTCTTGGGGTGTTGTTGGGACCTGCATTTTTTTTGTGTAGACATTGACGGCTTCTGTTAAGGCCTGTTCGAGGAAGTGGCTATCATCGTGGAAGGTGTTGACCAGAGTTTTGATTTTTTCTTCTAGACTGGCCCTTTCCTTGTTGACTTCTAGGTTGTTTACCAGTTCAAGTCGCTGGTCACACTCCTTCCTTAGTTCAGCCAGCTTCCCATCCCTCAGATCGATGTCCCCGTTCCACTGTCCTTTCATAGACTCCTGTAGAGCCGGTTTGATGTCAGTTCCATCTATCTTGATCCAGTACCTTCCTTTCGGATTTGCATGTTTCAGGTCTTTCAAGGCTGACTCCTAAAAGGTAAAAGTGGTTTTTCAGCAGTTAAAATAAGTCTATTTGGTACATGTTGTTTGTTCTGAATGTTGCTGATTTTAGTTGGGTTCAAAATGTCACTGTGAGGTTGTATGGAAGATTGAAGTGCTGAAAGTACAATCTGGAATACAACAAGTTTGAAAAGGCAGCAAATCCAATATGTACCTGTATGTCTGTTGTGACTGTTGTGCCTGAACTTGCGATGTCATTTGTCACTGTTTGGCGAGCTAGGCTGGCCACATTCACTCTTGCCTGAAAAATGCATTACCAAGATAGATAAAAGACAAAGTGACCTTTGCAAGAAAAGGAAATTCACATTCTGGCAAAAGAAACTCACCAGAGCTCTGTGAACAACATGCACTGCACGTTTTATCATAGCTTCAATGTAGTCCTCTGTCAGCCTCTTGTTAACAATGCTGTATGATTCTGCATTGAAAAAGAATTGAATACTATAAATATTGGCTATTTGGTAAACAAGCTTTTGCCTTCAGGCTGGACAAAAAAACATGTACAATATCATATACGTACACATGAAAAAAGATCAATCTGCAAATAATTATGACCTTGAGTTACTAGACATAAGTATACCTACCAGGAAAAAGTGGCCTTTGTCCAGGGTCCTGGTGGTAACACCTTTTCATCAGATCTGTCAGCCACTCTGGAATCTCCTCAGAGCTGGGTCTGTCCTGATTCTGACACACTCCCACAGTAATCAATGCTTCATTTCCACCACATTCTAAAAATGTTAAGAGACATAACACAATGATATTGATATTTGGATTGACCAAAAAATGACTTAAAATGACAACAGGGATGAACTTTCATCGAAGGTGCATAACACAGGGTTACTTACGGCTGTACATATCAAGCAAACCAGAATATACAAATATAGACAAGCCCAAAATTTCTTTCACATCCAGGCCTGCCTGCTTATTACTATTAGGCTTGAGTATATCTTGATAACTTGGGATTCATACCTAGTATGAACATAATATTGATTATCATAGATATCTAACTCATAGCAAGATGTTAAAGAAATTTAGAAAAACAGTGTTACCTTCATATGGTTCCTTGCCAGTGATTATTTCCCACAGCAGAATTCCAAAACTGCAAATAGTAAATATGACTTTCAACTTGCAAAACTGTCCACACCATTTCACATACTTTTTTCCTAACCAAAATCAATTTTTTGCAGTTAATTTCTTATCATGATATTATTTCTAAAAATATAAATAATGGTATGCAATTAACACATTATCATGTTACGGTCATGATAAAATGCCTTGAGGCAAATGTGTCAAAGCAGATGTCATATTGTAGTTTAAAGGAAGCATACCTGTACACATCAAATGTTTCTGTTGCTTTCGTGTTGATGTTCAGCAGGTTTTCTGGTGGAATGTGTGTGATGGTGCCTGCCAAGTAGCCTTCCTTTCCTTTACTGGCTCTAGATCTTTCCTTCATGTATTTCTTGGAGAATGTACGCCACTTTGCCAGGCCAAGATCTGCTATCTGCAAATATGGATCATCACCAGTTATTGTGAAATATATATTACTCAATCTTGAAAATCTGTTTATACATGTACATGTGTATAATTTTGAATAAACATCTGCATCTGAACAAGTAAGGTACAGATGTAAAAGACATAAAACTTCCAACAATATGTACATATTGTCAACTGTAAATCACCATATATAGAACTTACCTTCACATGAAGATTACCGTTGACCAGAATGTTCTGCATCTTCAGGTCACGATGGATGATCTTTGGTGTGAAGTTGTGTAAGAAGTTCATCCCACAGGTGATGTCGCGGACCATGCGGATCTTCAGTTCCCATGGGATGTTCACCTTCTTCATGAACTTGTCCAGCGATCCATGCTCCACAAACTCCATCACCAGGCTGTAGTTGCCTGGCTCCAGAATGACCCCATACAACAGGGTCACATACTGGTTTGGGACCCTAGCCAGGCTATAAGCTTCTTGGATCAAATCTTTCTCATCACTGTAGCATAGAAAGGCAGAGAGCAACTAGCATAAACAGACGGCATGGATGGACCCTTCAGATCAATCACTTGGCCCTAAGTAGTTCAAATAATTACTCTCATCTCTCGAATAAACGTATTTTCTTTCGCCTTGAAATCCGCCCGGTACGTTCTTATTTTAGACGGTACGTTTATTTTTTTTTTCAGAATCAAAAAAAGTTCCAGGCAAATTTGCACACATGTGGTACTACTACTACTATACAAAGGTCAAGCTACATATTTTCCTGTGAATTTCTTTTTTTTGCTTTGCTAGATTTTACTTCTAGATTTTACCTTAAATAAAGATTTTGTGCAGAGGGTATGGCAGTGAAATATTACTAGTAGATAAATCTCAGTCTCAGACTTAATTGCGCAAAACAACTTCCCCATCTATTGTTTTGTGCAATTAAGTCTGAGACTGGGAAGTTTAATACATTGGTCTTTGATCTATTATCAATATTTGATATTTTGATATAACATTACATGTATTAAACACTTCAACCATGTTACTACTGGTTCGTTGCGTAATGAATGCTATTCTTGAAACAAAACTCAGACAGAACATACCGAATAAACAGAAAAAGGCATGAAATGAAATGAAATGAAATGAAAGGATTGCAAATTCATCTGTGTTGATAGAAAACATTATCTTTGCAATAATGATTTTATTACTAATAGCATTCCAGCCGACATCAGCATTTTAAAATTTTTGTATCATCCTTAACATCTATGAGATATAAAAAAGAAAATGAACTATGTTTAAAGTGGACTCACCTTGATAGGATCCTTCCACTCCTCCCTAGGACAGCCACTCAAGCTTGGGCCCCGGAACAGACGATTGAATCTAGTGCCAAACTCCAGCTCCATCATCACCTGCCACCTCCGGAAGTCATCAGGGTGGGTTATCTATGTTGGCAAACAGTATTACATAACTACTCAAGGATAATCATCATCAGCTGTGTGTGATGGCACTTTGGTCTAGTATGATGTGGTTGTGTAAATGTATGCAACACAACAGGCACAGTTTCTTTGGAAGACAGACATCCCTCATGTCCAACGGGACATGGATGCTGTCCCAACGGAGACAGCTTAACGTGTACAGCGTGCAGTCAGTGTAAACTGTGCCTGTTGGCTTGAAAAAGATTTGTTAGTCCTCATGTCCAACTGGACATGGATGCAGCTGGGGTGCTGCTTAAGGGGAGGGACAGACATCCCTCATGTCCAACGGGACATGGATGCAGCCCAACGGGGTCTGCTTAACTGCAGAATGCTATATAACACCAGCTGTAAATACCTGCTGTACATTAGTGCAACTGAAGAACTCTATCTGATATTGCACCAGGCCAAAGGGCATCCTGTGCAAGGGCATGAGGGGCTCCTCTGTTCCGGGTCTGTTCTGCCCCACACACTGCGCAAACTTATAGATCAAATTTGGCTTTCCAACTGTCTGTAGCCTGACCATGGCATCGGACGAAAGAGAGGCAAAGTCAGTGGGATAGGTAGAGATGGACTTTGAAAGTGCTAAAGTGTGAAAGAGGTGATCAGTCAGCTCATTAGCATATGCAGGTGACCATGACTTAAACAGCTCTGAAAGAAATGACTTTTGGTTATCAAGTGATAGTGACTGAACAGTATGTAGTGCATTAGCTACCTGTGCTTCAGGAGTCAGAGTAGCTACATGTGCTCCAGGAGTCAAAGTAGCTACCTGTGCTCCAGGAGTCAGAGTAGCCTGTGAAACTGGCTGAGATAATGATGGCAGTGTGACATCATTAGTACTGGTGGTGTCATCGTTAGGACACAGCCTGCCAACACTGTTCTGGAGTTCAGGGGAGGAAGGAATGACGGATATGGGAGATGGCATGGTGTCAAGAGGAATGTTAGCTCGTGGAGTGCTAGTTACATAAGTGCTTGAAAGGTAAGAGTCAAGAGTGATCCCGAATGCCTTCTCAG